TGCGTAGAAAAAATGGTGCGCAAAGTACAATACTATTCGCACAACCTCCCGCCCACTTCCGCTTTCCAATCACCTTTTCTCTCGCTTTGCGATCGCTTGTGAATTCGACCGGACAATTCCGCTTTATTTTCGACCGCGCAAACCCCGAAATATCAACACCCGCCTGCTCGCTCGCGCGCATTAAAATTTCGGACTAATAGAAACATTTCCGAGGTTCACATTGTCTTATAATTGTCTTTCTGGTTTTTATGAATGTTGAACAGCTGACAAAAGTTCAAATACTTTTTGTTTTAACTATCTATAATTATATGCACGCAATCTGACCTTTTGACCTTGATTTGGCTTGAACTGAATATATAATTTTAAACAATATTATGACGTGAAATGCAAAATGTATTTCAACACAAGTACGACATGGTTGTCTGGGTTTTCTTTCCTGATTGTCGTGTCTTCGCGATGTGTTTTGTATAATTATTGAAGCTAAATGGCAGTTCCATGCATGGGCTGAGTGAAAGGAAATATTTCTAAGTCTGAAATAAAACCTAATATTACACCTCTTTGTGTATTTGTTAATTTTACATATGTTTTTCATGACAGTATGTCTGTAAATATCTAGAAAAATCTTGTCTTTCAATGATAATTTCGATTGTTTGGAATGTCTGTCGACCGTGTCCAAATACTTTGTTTGGAATGTCGATTCAAGTTGGTTTCTCCATACTGAGTTTAGGATCAACACAATCAGCCGAGACAGGACAAACATTGACCCTAATCATTCATGGGGACCATGTCCGTAATTTGTGAGCTGAAACCCCAAACAATTAAACAAGTATTATTATTATAATATATATTTTATTTTACATCGCAAAACTACAACAGAGCTAGAGTTGTTCACGGTGAAACAGCTGCATTGAAGACAATGCAACTTCAACTAGCCATTTCTTACCTTGAAATAAAAAAAAATAAAAATTCGACGAAGAGCATCGGGGAAAATATTAATAATCATTCTTATCAATCGCTTGCTTTATTTTATTTGAATCCATGAAATTCACAAGTTTTTTGACATTTGTTGGCAACTTCCGTGCTAAAAAGATTGAAAATGTGGGTGTGGTTCTTTTGCGAGGTCCTGTTGATAATACGGACAAATATGGTTCAGTGACCCAGGTCGTGCTCCGATCATGTGACTTTCAGCCAATCAATGATGTTGTAACAAAGCATATTTGATGCTAATTGAAGGGTCGTCGTACCATCCAATTTGCGGCGTCGATTCACATAGTGTTTTTGTGCTGAAAAACATCGGTATATTTTGACAAACGGATGGAATTTGACCTCAGTTCAAAAAGAAAATACTAGGCTGAGATACATTAGAGTCCACGGCGAATCAGTTTTCTCTGCAAGTTGGGAAATAAAGTAAACCAGCGTAGAGTCGATGATTTTCAGCCCTGAAGGACTTCCATGTGAATCCTGAATTTCGAATTTTTCATCGACTGGCCACCAAATCTTTATGGCTATAACTAAATTTGACACGTTTTTTTAAAGCCCAATAAATCATTCATACATGTCAAGCTCTGTTCGATTTTTTCAGGGCATGTGGCCGTTTTTAATCGAAACCATTTTTTGTGGGAACACTTTTATGGTATAGACTGAACTCATTCAATGATCGTGACTTATTTTTGAAAATTGAATGTCAAATTTTACCAGACCGGCCGACGTGGATTTGGTATCGTTATTTTTGGAATTCATCATTAACATTTCCTCGTTTCTCTGCTCTGTCAAAATGAGTTACCGTACCTATGCTTTTTTCACGTAACTGTCTCCTTAAAATTATAAAAAATATTACATCTAGAACATGCACCCAAAACACGTAACAAGAGGTTCCAGTTCAGTTGCTTTCACGATACAAGTGTCATACAACTATTAGATTTGAAGTGTCTTTCAGAATGTAATAATAGTAAATACTAGTTGTATGTTCTCACTCAAAACCACCATTTCGACCACTCACTGGCATGTGCCAGTGATCAGTGTTTGGGCGAGCGGTCGGTGTTTCAATGAGCGAGCGAGCGAAAAAAAAAACGTGATTAAAATGCGGTCGGTTTCCGGACGAACAAGACCGCATGGTCGGAAATTAAGCGATAAGCGGTCGGTGTAAAAGGGGAAGGTTGGGCGAAATGAGTACTGTATGACCATGTTTCTCTGACGAAGTCTGGACTCATAATGCTGACAATGGACGTTAGATAAACACGCACTGTTTGCGACGGGAAGCTTATCACCCGTTATATCAGAATCGTCAACAACAGAGTATACAGATAAGATGTTATCCTTTAATTCCTTCCAAAGATAAACACTATGCAAATATCCACGAAACAGCAGTTGTAGTCTTTTCTGCTAGCGTTTTAAAACACTAATTTAAGCAACGTTATTTCGCAATTTCGATCTTTTGTAAACCTGGGATGATGTATCAAGGTCTAAAGTAACCATTTTATCAATTTTTGAAAACGCAAGAAAAAAGTGAAAATTTCTCTTCTCGCTACCTTAACATAGTTAAGATCAGATTTCTTTAAATATAGTTTATTTAATGCTTTTGTTCTCGAGACCCCGAAATAAAGAGGTCGACAAACTACTTTTTGCACAAAACTCTGATCTAATCTCTATGAAAA